CTTCCAAAATGCGTTATGATAATACATACATATTTCGATGTTATACAATGCTGGCGTTTGCTAAAACCAGAAAGATTATCAACTTGATTTGTTACAGGGGAATATAGGATTTATGGTATTCCTCTATTGAAAATCTACACAAAGTTTCATTCAATCTGTCAAATAATATACATTATACAACACCTACGTGGATCCTTGTCATTTGATCGGACGATTGTTGGTCACATGATATTCAATAGATGGTATATTGCACGGTCGTGCATTTTTGGTTATGCGCCGTGCATTTTTGGTTATATGCAGACTGCGTACCTCTCTGCTGCATGTGCGCGCGCGTATCCCTGCGTGTATCTGACGCGAAGGCAATCTGCATGTAATTAATTGAGAAGGCTTGACTCGAACTGTAATTTATCTTTATAAGGAGTAAAGCATAATTTGTTGATTAACGTTCTATTAGGTCTTCTTCGATGTTGTATAAAACAAATAATGAATGTTTTTCATTCGTTTAATAGTGCAAATATTTTCATTCGTTGAAAGATTAACGTTAATTCTATTCAACTCGGCTGACGCCTCGTTGAATAGAATGTTAATCTTTCAACTCATGAACATATTCGCACTATTGAACTCATAACCATTCATTATTTGTATAATATTTGTGTAAGATTGTGTAAAGATAAATGCTTGTTGAGAAAGAACATGCTTTTAAAGAAGAAGGAAAAAGTGTCTGAATGTTAAGTGAATAGACTAAAGTGACGTATGATTTAATGTGTTAGCATGTGTATACTTGGCATTAACCGAGATTTTGGCGGGCTGACCGGAGGTTATTTTAGTTGAGTATCAGACGACATTCAAAAAGATGTTGCCTTTAGACTTCTTACTTAAATCGCGTGTGACCAGGAGCCCTACTAACTTCTTAAAGCTACAGTCTCTCTTTGAGTAGATCAATTTTACTCAGCCATTATCACTTTAAATATAAATAGTTCATAGTATAGCGACATTATCTAGCGGCTTTTACAATATCTTTGATTATTCAATTTCTTAATTCGTCGTTTTATCCATTGATCATTATTTTGATGTGTTCATTGATTCATTAATACGTAATTCGTTGCGTCGTACATTTTCAGTAATTATTCATTGAATTATATTTTTTATTTTTTATTTACCCGGTTAGTCATCCTCTTTTCCGACTCATTTGCTTCTAAATCTCTTAATCTGTCCATCAAATCATATAAACTTTCATTGCACATCTTACAACAGCGAAAAGTTTAGGATATCTCGAAAATGGAAGCTTTCGTTTTAAGAAAATAATATTTCTAGGGGGTACAGTATATACGTGCCTTATACTTTCATAATATGGGTATCTATAGTATAGAAGTGGGTGACCTCTGTGAACTTTACCAATACTTTGCAATTCATATGAGGTTGCAATTAAAGACATGTTTTTCAGAAGATTGTAAACCTCATTACTGTATTCATTCTATCGTTTGTAAAGGTTCGTATCACACCTTTACCTGTTCTGGTATTGCATAACCCGATCTATACCATTGTATGGAGAAGAAATCAATTGGTGTTTGTTTAAGAAAAACTATTTCGCCTCAAACTCACGCCTCCTTTTATTCCTGTCTTTTTTGCTAAAATACCCTGTGGATTTCATTGAGATTACCGTGTGTGTAATCCTTGTTTAATTGCGTTTCTTTGATGTCATGTAGTCAACGAATAATAATTGTCACGAGCCATGTATTAGTTTTTTGTGAACAAACATTTTCCACTTGGTTTATCTCATTTCTTTTACACTGTCTTATTGATCGGGCTTATTCTGATGTCTTGAATAGATGTTTTTCTTAGTACGTACACAAACGAAGCATTGGGAAATTGTTTTGAAAATTCACTGGGATGGGAGGAGTTATTTAAATGCTTAACAAGGTTGTGTCTAATTATGAAGGTGTTAACATGAATAGAATAGACGGGCTTTAAAGCAGATCCGCAGGGATAGATTCCCATGTACATCTATAGAGCTTAGTTAGCAGAGGACTTACCGTGTGGCATATTATAAGGCGATCAGGATATTTTGGTTTATTTAAGAATTCTAGTAAGTTGGATGCTTAGAAAGCGTGTTCTGGGTTGACTGAATTAGATGAACCAAAGAGAGAACGAAGAGAGAGAGAGAGAGAAAGAGAGATAAAGAGATAGAGTTTGAAAGGCAAGTATACAAACCATAGTGGTAATCACTAGGGGGACATTGAAAGGGAGGGTGTGTTTTACGTGCCTTATCGAAGGGCCCTATCGAAAGGCACTCGCATATACCGACTTGGATTCGAATCCGGGATCTGCTTCGTTTTAAAACCAAAGGGCCAGCTGACTACCACTCAGGGTACTTAGTAAGGGGTATGTATTAGGGGATAATTATCCTAGATGTGTTGTTGTCCGGTATATGGTGTCCAAGGAGGATTGCAAAGACTTTCGAAAAATTAACTTTCAACAGCCTTATCCATCGCCATTTGATACAATGACATTACAATAACTATTCGGCCTATGTAAACCGAACAAGATTTCATATGAAGTACAATGATTAGGGTTTTAAAATTACCCCTAAGTTCATTTAGGGTAGTGTTGAGGTTTTTGCCCTCAATAAAGATGTTTAGGAGTATTTGCCCTGGATGTGTTCAATGTTAGGAGTGGCTGTCCGGAAATAGATATCCGGGGTAGTTGTCCTGGAGCAGTTGCTTTAGAATCATCTAAAGCAATTCATACATTTGCATTCTCTTAAGACCCGTTTCACTCTTACGTGGTTTGCACAAAATGTCAGAATTTATTTATCAACCATCAAATGTGACTTTCCGTCCCGTAACCAATATCTCAACTCCACCATACTCCCAAATGTACCTGTTCGTGAGAATGCGTCATTTTAGCCGTATATTGAACTGTCTATTTCAGCCTCACCTGCCAGCGACCGAGCTCCCTTGCACAAAGGTCAATGACAACACCAACACGTGGAAACTAATTTCCTCTAGGGTGAGGTAAGGTGGTACTTTCATTCACGACTATTTTATTGGAGATCCCTCGAGAAAAGTACACATTTAGACGACATTTGTTGTTTTATGAAAGGAAAAGACTCAGGAAGAGAATGTCTGATTTTTTGTTATTTGGAGCAAGGCCTCAGGAAATTGAGGGGGTTTCTCTTGAGCGGCGACGGCGATGGTTTTTTTTTTTTTTTTTTTTTTGGGGGGGGGGGGGTCGTCAGCATTCTCTAGATTCAAATTTACGGGAAAATAATATTCAGAACTACTTTAACCAAGTTGGCCAATTCAGAAAGATCTGACAACCTAATACTAATTTTTGTTTTTATTTTGTTTTGAGTTGCTTAGACATTGTGGCTTTTCTTGGTGAACTTGACTACAAAACTTGTCTATTAAACCCCCACTTAAATGTGTTTGCACTCGTCGCCTTTGAGGAACCAGACATTCCTCCTAACTCGTCAGTCATTGAACTCTTCAAATTGGTCTACCATAACGGAGCAATGCCATAAGTATTATGTTACTTGATTCAGTGATACATGTATACTGATTGAACCAAGGAGATACTGGGCGACCCCTTTGAAACTCCTTGATTGAACATAATTCAAGAATAGGATGTATTACAGAATGTAATTATTTACCTGAACATACAATGAAACATGAGGATAGGGTATCGTGGTTTTGATTCGTTGATGTTGATCTGTTGATCAAAATGACGTCTTGTAAGAACCTCTTAAAAGAAGAATTAGGAAGGATACGACAATCGATGAAGATTTGATAAATATTGATTGCTGAATCGTCTAGTGGATATGCTATCGGAGCATTAGGATAGAACCATCATGACGACAGATCAACAGTACCTATCTTGGTTCGAATCCCCGGTGAGGCACTATACTCTACGATAAGCAAGACATGTCACTGTACCTCTTCTCACCCAGTGTAGTAGACGCAGAAGCAGACACATGATTGCCAGAAAGGATGGGGGGGGGGTGAGGAAACCGCATAGACAATCCCTTGGATGCGTAGTGAACATGCAAAGACAATTTCTTTTTCTACACAAGTCATGCCTATCAAGGGGGAAAAGGAAATGCTAAAACTTGGCGTCCTGTGATAAATCATGGTAATTAGACCTGAGCACTGCATCTTCAGGAAAACCATGGACATGTCTTAGAACCTAATCATCAAGCATTATAGTTTCTGTTGGCTCAATTGCATTACAAAACGTGGTTCCTAATTCCTAATTGCTTTATTGATCTTAAGAGCTTACAAAGTAACTGTTTTGTTTGCATTATTTTCTTGTATTTCCGCTCTTTGCACTTATACCACCCACTGTGTGAGACAAGTAGTATTGATTAACCTAGTACAATCCTTTCTGATCCATCGGTTTAAAGGAGAAATGTGGTTCGAAATGAAGCTCTAATAGTTAATCTAGTATGTCTACAATGTAAAACACGACATAGTTAGCCCTGAAAAAAAAATCATAGATAGCATGAAGAAACCAATGATGATTAAAGAACATAAAAACACTTCATTAAAACATGTATCTCTGATATTCTGACATGCATTTCGTAATAAAATAATACAGCAATTAAAATGATAAAACTTACTTGTATGTATTTAAAAAAAAATCAATATTTTATAAAAAATATACATGACTGTATAGGCAAACAGAGAATAATATAGTTCAAGTTTTCTTTATTTTTGAAGGAGATATGAAGCACGTCACTTTCCGAGGTAGGAATTATTTTATGAACCTCAAATCGACTCCTTGAGAGTCGTTTGTCTCTTATGTGCTCCGCTTGAAATGGGGCCGTTAACTTCATGAAAAGGGATTTCTCCACAACAATAGGTAGGTTATTGGATTTCTGAACAGGGTAATGCTGTTTGCTATATCAATATTGAGAGTCACTCCAGGGATGAATGAAAGGGGGGGGGGGTGGCAGATCCAGTCACTTTTCCCTTCTCAGTTGTAAAAGACGTGCAGATTCGCAAAGGGACGTATGCCCCGACCGGGAGAAGATAGTCAATTACTGATGCACTTGATCTACATTTAAGTGCGCCCTTTGGATTTTGTAATTATTTTCTCGTTCATTATTAAACGGTACGGTTGACTGCAGAATAAAGTCCAAGTTACAACGTCACATTTTTTGTTTTGCTGGTACTAAACTAATCTTTGAAACATTGCTTGTACCAAACATCCGTTTTGTACATTACTTGATTCCGTCTCCCATACCAGCCTCTTCACGGTAGAAATTAATCGGAATTGCGGCATCAAGCTGGCAGAAGTGGTGAACATCGTTTTAGACGCCCTGAATCGTTGCTGTTCTTGTAAGTTCTTACATTTTCTGGTAAACTTTCTTTGCACATCGTGCGTGGGATTTTCTTGATTCGCGGAGACGTTACTATGGTCGTTGCTGTATTGTTTTGAAGTGTCCATCGCTTGATTCATATCATGATACATTCACCCTACTGTCATAAGGACCTCCGATGTGATTTATTCAGTACGAGTGGGTTGGATATCATTCTTTGAATTGACGTACATCAAGGCAAGATTGAAAAGTGGAGACTCTATAGTAATCAGAAAGAAAGAACAACCGTATGAAGGAATAATTTCTGTAGTTTTCATGATCATTCTCTTGCCAGGAATATTTTATCAATTGTTGAGGCAAGAGTTTTGCAGCGTACTCGTAAGTGTTTAATCTGAATAATATCATCATTGAGATATTATCTTCATAACAGTAGCCGGTAAATATGGCCTAGCTTGTTCTTTAACCTTTTATTTAGCTAAAGTAAGACGGGTGCCCCCCCCCCCAATTGATATTGGCTTAACCCATGCTACACCATCGACTTAAATACACTATCAACGGCTTTGAGTTTTGATATAAAAAATCTTCACGTAATTTTGTATTAAATGCTTTGTTTGATATACATGAGACAGAGAGGGTAAGAGTGTGGGGTGGAATGGGACAGAGAGCTTCATGAAATATATATCATTCATGTTTGTAAAGCGTGCAATTGAATAATTGCTAGCACGTACTACTTTTTCTTATTTATATTGCACACAAAAAGCTGCTACAAACTATTTGTGCATACATTGGCTAGAAGTAGATCAGAAATAAAGGAATGGAGATAGCGGGATAAGATATCCGCCTTCATAATATTTTGATTCATGCATACTGATGAAACCTAGCAAGAGGGAACAAATATCCAAAAATAAAATTTCAAATACTTTTTTTGGTATCCCCTCAGTTGCACCATTTATTGTTCGATCTGATCAAATAAGCTGATTCCTTCTCTAAATTTACACAGTCATTGTTTACATGTAACGGCCTGTAGAGTTTTGACAATGTATAGGGGGCGTTTCCCTCAGACTTAGAACATGTCCAAAGTACACATGTAACTGTTGAATAGATCGTCCATTCGAAGCCATATTTAATATAGTACTAAACATTGTTTAATTAACACAAGTTTTGAATTACAAATCGAGTAGTTTTAGTTGTAGGACAACAACCTAAACCGAGGCTAAGTACATGTTAACATGTCTCATCATACTGGCTTCTGTAATAAAATTTCAAGGGGGGGGGGGGTAGCATATGGTATTTAAATGTAACTTATAATATTTTGCTCTGTATTTTCTATGAAGTACTATATGTGATTTGATAAAGATTTGGGAATGATTCGAAGAGATTATTGAAACGAAAGCAACAATTACATGTACTTGTAACTGTTCCAGATAAAAAAAATATAAATAAGTTTATTTGTATCCATGAAAGTTCCACTGGTTTCGTGATAACAACAAATAAAGGTAGATTTTTATTCCGAATATAAATCCAATCCGCGTGGTAACCTAGGAAACTAATCATGTCATTAAAAATGGAAATCTCGAATATGGCTTATAGCTGTATATCTGTAGTAATGTTTGCTGGATTGATATAGGTAAAACGAGACAGATATAAGCAACACTTGCATGCATGTGAAGGGGTAACTTTTGTTGAAAGACGTGCAAGGGGAGTGGTGTAGTTTAACATGTGGTCGTTGTAAAACTAAATCGTAGATGTCGTAATGATAGTTATACATTCGGAAGCTTTATCATAAACAAAAATGTAATCGCGGTGTTAAAATATCATAGAAGAGTTTGAAATAGTATACTACTAGTAGTAGTAGTAGTAGTAGTAGTAGTAGTAGTAGTAGTAGTAGTAGTAGTAGTAGTAATAGTAGTATTAGCAGTAGTAGTAGCAGTAGCAGTAGTACTACTACTACTACTACTACTACTACTAGTAGTGTACTATTTATCATAGAAGAGTTTGAAATAGTATACTACTAGTAGTAGTAGTAGTAGTAGTAGTAGTAGTAATAGTAGTATTAGCAGTAGTAGTAGCAGTAGCAGTAGTAATACTACTACTACTACTACTACTACTACTACTACTATTAGTGTATTATTTATCATAGAAGAGTTTGAAATAGTATACTACTAGTAGTAGTAGTAGTAGCCAAGTATAGTAGTAGCAGTAGTAGTAGTAGTATAAGTAATAGTAGTAGCCGATTAGTAGTAGCAGTAGTAGTAGTAGTGGTAGTAGTAGTAGTAGTAGTAGTAGTAGTAGTAGTAGTAGTAGTAGTAGTTGTAGTAGTAGTAGCAGCAGCAGTATAGTAGGCGAGTAGTAGTAGTATAACATATACCAACAATATTAAAAAGAACACATTTTCACCTTGAGCACGATCATACTTCCCTATTCAGAATCGAAAACTCTAGCTAAATAACTATAAATATCAGTTTGGCAGTTGACTATAGTTTTAGTTATAAAGCTCAGGCACCTGTCCAAGCCAGCTCTGGTTTTGTACTGAAAGTTTCCCCTTCAAAGAGTAAATGGCAGACGCGACAACCCATCTTTTTCCAGAAATTGATTTGGCCCGAAGTAAAAGAGATGATCAATAATTAGCAGCTGCGACGTAAGGGAGGAATATTGTCTGAAAGTGATTTATCTGTGCCGTCAAAATACAGATCAATGACAGCTTAGAAGAAAGAGAGGTTATGAGACTAGTCGTGTGTATAATTACCACTCTATTGAATATGTTATTGTGTGCATTATCAAATACACCGCAATGAAAAGGCCAGCCATAAGTTCGACTGTCATCAACATTTAGGAAGTTAAAATGAGTTCATGAATCAATGCATTCGCGTGTGTTTCCTCCTAAAAGGCAGGGGTGGGTCTGTGTAAAATATTATCAATCGAATTTAAACTATACAGAATAATATTAATCAAATCAAGTAAGGAATCTGTAAGAAAATGCATCTGTCGGAGGAAAAAAACCTCCCTTAAATAAAAAAGTTTATGTTTAGGAGTTCAGGAGTAATTGTGTCCTTATTTTTCAATTACTCTTTAACTAAATGTGTTGGTGATAGCTGCTGATGTCTGTTTTATCTGCATGATATTCATATCAATACCTGTATAGCCATCAATTATTGTGTATTACGTATTACCTTTTTATTTATCTATTTTATATTATTCATTTTATGAAAGGCCCGATCACCTTTATATGTATTATTTAATTCTTTAGGCTTAATTTGTTCTCCTCCACTCATACAGGTTGGAGCTGGCCTAGATATCCACTCGAGACATCCTAAATGATAATGAAGCATTCACTCTCCTGCTGGCTTGCTCTCCTGTCATTGTTGAGCTCACTGAGATCATCGACGGCCGTGATCGGAGGCCTGATCGACTTCGAGTACCATGACTATACAAGCCTAACCTTAGCGATAAGATCATTGACGGTTGCATACCCTGATCTCACACATCTATATACCATAGGGCAATCAGTCAAGGGTAAGTCATAGATGATGCAATCTTAATTGTTATAAATTTTCACCCAATACTAGGACCAATATACTCATAACACTCCGAACAACTTCATCTGAAGAAAAACAAAAACTTGCCCTAGAACAATAGCATCCCCAAGAAAAAAAAAACCGCCCCTGACATCTACCCCTGATACAGTTATCTTAGAAGTAGTTGACTGAGGGTAACTTGGGCATTGTACACTGTCGCTCATATAGTTAGGGTAGGGGGTAGCCCCTGCTGCGTACAGTCATGGTTCAGTGGCCAAGCAATGGCCTCGTAACTGTGAGGCCCCAGGACCAAAACCGTGTCGATGTGCTATATTAGTGCCCTTTTGTGGGGCATTAATCGTCATTATTTTTTATATTTTTTTTATTATAGTTTTATTTTAACAGGGTGGTCTCATTCAAGTTCATTTCTGAGCCTGCTCTCCCAGAGAGCCCTGTATTCACATAAAAACATGTACAATAATAACATGAATTCAAAACATATATACAAAGGTAAAATATATATGGTATATACAATAATTAAACATAGGTAACGAAAACCACGCATTAACAATAAATTATAAGGGGAAAAAAATACAACTATCAAATTGAGAAAACTAGATGAATAAAATGTAATAAATAAAGGTCAAATTAACGTGAAAATATGTTTACAAGGGAAACTGAAAGGTTTTGACATTCTTTTTAAAACTTTGCAGCGACTTACAATTTTTAATATGATAGGGTAATTTATTGTATATTTAAGCTCCTGAAACCGCTAAGGTTTTCGTTTTAAAATTTGTTTTACATTTTGGAATGAATAATGGACTGTTTAAAGCATAACGAGTATAATATAATATCGGTCTTTTACTTATACATGGATTAAGATATGGTGGTGATAGGTCGTTTATGATTTTAAAAATCAAGATGCATTTCTGATATTTAATTCTTTCCTCTAATGACCGCCATTTCAATTTACTCATTAAAACATTTGGGGTGTAAAATATTCGGCACGAAGAACTAATCGTGCATATCTATTTTGTAATTTTTGCTGTCATTTATTACTTAAGGGCGTAGGTCCCCTAGTTGATAAGCATAGTAGCATACACATCCTTTAGCAGTCACGCAATACAAACACTGGCAAATTGTTTTTCAATAAAATCTGAGAATTTAACCTATTTTCTAGATCTATTAGGAATAAATAATTGTCAAAATAGTTCCATAAATTGGGGTAACAAAAATGATATTCCAACTATATGAGCGACAGTGTAGTATACTGTTTGTCCGGGGAATGGGGTATTGTCATAAGGGGCACTGTCCTATGAGTAGGTGCTCGGGGTAGTCATCCGGGGGTAATTGTCCTACAATTATTAGTTGTCCTAGTGGTAAATGTAATTTATTAGGATAGTAGTCCTGATCACGAGTTCACAAACGCATGCTCCTACCGTATAGACTATAGAGTTAGACCTTCTCAATCTGCATCTATACCCAGGTCGAGAACAGATCTACTGAAAACGTTTCTATCGCCTATAATCTGCACTATTATTGATTGATTTTCAGGTCGAGAATTATGGGTACTCGCCATTGCTGGCATGGACGCTACCAAACACGTAGTAGGGAGACCAGAAGCTAAGTATGTGGGCAACATGCATGGAGATGAGGTGAGAAAACAATGAGACGATAAATTTATTAAATGTTTATCAATTTGTTTAGATTTATGAAAATAACTTATATTTCACTTGTCATAGGTTAGTGATGTTTCTGTAAGATAATTTTTAAACACAAAAATGTTGTTCATTGATGTTATCATTTTGTGAAATCTGAAAAAGATGTCATTTATGTAATTATAGGCCTATGTCATGAATATCTACAGTAATTCTGAATTATATTTTACACTTCTTATGTCTCTTCACAGCTTTATGACTTCGAGTTATTATCGTTAAACTTAAAATACCAAAGACTAATAATATGGCCATATTTACAGGTAATTGGGCGAGAAATGTTGATACACTACGCTGACTGGATGCTACTGAACTATGGTCAGGACATAGAAGTAACACAGTTCCTAGACTCAACCAGACTTCATATTCTAGTCTCTATGAATCCTGATGGCTTTGAAGAAGCCAGAGTCAATGAAAACTGCAGGAGTTTTACTGGAAGGTGAGAGACTTATCTACTTATTCCTGCTCACTCTCATTCAATCACCAGAATGTTATGTGTTGCTCCGCTTTACGATCTCATCTTAGTCTTCTTACTTCTTTGTAACACATTATACGGACTGTCTTCTCGATTATTTTTTGTCTATACGCTTACATGTAAATGAATCTCACTTTTATTCAATACCTCTTTTTGTGAAATGCAAGGACGTGTATCTCAACATTCATGTCTTCTGAAAAGATCACAACTCACTTTCTTCCTCTCTTCTCTCTTCTTTCACAAGTTGTTCACTAATACCTTTGAGAAGAAAAAAAGATTTTTAAAATGATTAATGATTTACATTTTCATTTATATAATGGTATTATAATGCCAATAGGCGTAGCGTGGGACAAGTGATTGAGGGGGGCACTTGCGGGGGTATTTGTTGGGGGGCGCCGAACGCAAAGGGCAATATCAATATCAGGGCCACTGAATAGAGGGAGGGAGGGTGTGGAGGGGTTCCTAGCAGCTTCGTTTCATATCCCCCTCCCCTCTTTTCCCCACATTTTCTTTTTTTTTTTGGGGGGGGGGGGGGCACGTGTACATGTTGTCCTTTGTAGAAACGCCTCTTGTTACGACCGTCAACGTTTTTGCTATAATTATTTATGTTATTATTACTGTTGTTAAACCTATCCGCTTTACGATGTAATACCCTTCTGTTCTCATCAGAATAAATCCTAGCTTTGTTGCCATAGCAACCATCTATAAAATGAATTCCCCTTCTCTCTGCGTAGGACGAACGATCTCGGCTTCGATCTGAATCGGAACTTTCCGGATTACTTCGAGAAGAACATATACGTGACACAAGTGGAAACCCAGGCTATCGTGGACTGGGTGGCAGATATTCAGTTTGTATTGTCAGCTAACCTCCATGGTGGTGCACTGGTTGCTAACTACCCCTTCGATAACATTGACCCAGGTAAGTCATCAAACTATTGGGAAGTGATTATGAAGATACACAACGTGACACACAATCCTATTACTGGTCTTCAAAGGAGGGATAACTCCACAGGTTTTACGAAATAACATGTCTTTAAAAAAAAAGCGTTGATAGAAATGTTGCCATTTTTTGTGAAAAGGAAAAACTGATACATTTTTCACAAGCACAAAAATAGATAGCTTGGGTATCTAAAACAATTTTTTTTTAGAGAATATGTTACAATGTAGAAGTTATCATCTAAAACTCTGAATCATTTCGTATACATTAACTGAAGAAGAGAAAGAAACAGAAGGAATCCAATTCTGCTTGCCTTAATCTGTAATCTGAATTTGATGAATATTGAAACAGACAGATCAACAGCGTCTTAAATTTCATGGTTCTGCGTCAAATAATTTTTCTTCCTTTTTCACAGAAATCAAGAAAGACAACACATCGATATACAGCCCCAGTCCTGATGATGATATTTACCGTTACCTAGCAACTGTATATTCGTATAACCATCGGAAGATGCACATACTCAATGAAACTAAATGTGAAGGGAAATTTACAGGATTCGAGGATGGCATAACCAATGGCGCCGAATGGTATATTGCAGTTGGTAAGTAGAATATTAAAGTAAGCATTAATAAACATGCAAGAAAGAATGATGGAAAATAAAGCTCAACTTGGCACATCGACTATAAGAACGTGTAATTTGAGAGACATGAAGAGCAAGCACCTTAAAGGTTATAAAAAGTTTTGGTATGGGGTCATGATTTGGTTCAAATGAACATATTGGAAGCATATGCGATACTACAATATTCAGGGATCGTTGTCGCGGTTGAAATCGAGTCTAAAGTTATGAAATTTTAAATAATAAACTCATTATGTTGTATAGCTTCCTCTCAAGTTCAAGATATTAATTCAGCTATAAAACAATGTGTCTTGACTAGAATCGACCAATTGGCTAAATTATATATCACAACTACATATTCTGAGATTTTCATGGTCGCAGCTACCATTGGTTGGCCGTAGGTGCTATTTTAAATTTATCAAAATTTACCGGGAGCACCGGTAAATGTTTATACTCAATTTTTCTCGAAAGCAGAAGTGTTTTAGGGGCTTATATTTTTTAGTGCTTATAATACATTCACAGGGGCATCCAAATATATATATATATATAAATTGTAAAGAATCACTATCCACCATAGTTTCAAAATTTCCCAAAACTTTGTATTACCTTTAAGCGCCCTACATAGGCGCATACAGGCGCCCATCATCATCATCATCATCATCATCCTTATCATCATCATCCTCATCATCTTTCTCATCAACATCATCCTCACCAACAATAACACCAGCATCATCATTATTATCCTCATTAATAACATTATTATTATCATCATCGTGTTCGGTATCACTATGACTCCCAGTCATCCTTATCATTGTATCATCACACCCAATACATCATCATCTTACCATCGCCATCTCAATCATAATAATCATCATTATCATCATCATCATCATCATCATCATCATCATCATTATCATCATCATCATCATCCTCATCATCATCATCATCATCATCATCATCATCATCACTACCACCATCTTTATCATAATTATCATCATTATCACTCCCAGTGACATCATCATTATAATAACCATCATCGCCATCATTATCATCATCCCCACAAACCATTGCAGCAACCATGACCATTCAATATACCCTGGCACAGTATAAAGAAATACATTATTGTTTTAGAGATAATAATATTTACCACCATTTTGTTGAAATCACCAGGTGGGATGCAAGACTATAACTACTTGTTTGCTGGATGTATGGAGATCACCTTGGAGATCAGTTGTTGCAAGTATCCTCCTCCTGAGGAGCTACCAGAGTACTGGGAGGATAACCGAGATGCGCTCATGGAATACATCAAACAGGTCCATAGAGGTAACAACAACAACCCATTCATTTTCCCTTTTTTCTTTTTGACTCTCTCAGTCTGTCTGTTTTAATCTCTTTCTTTATCTCTACGGTTATCCTCTTCGCCTCTTCTCACATTCTCTATGTTATCTTTCTACATTCCTTCTACTTTCTGTCCACTTCCAGAACTCAGCTTAAATGACATATCTATTAATATCTGCACCACCTTGCCATTCCTCTAGTCTTTCATAGTTCAATAATGGACTGCATGCAGTATTTTGATGTACCATTTTATGCAGATTCTGGGACTGCACTTTATTTTTTCCTGTGTTTATGTTTCCTCTCTCTCCCTATTTCTCATTTCCTCTTTCCTCTTTTTCTGTTTATCTCTTTCGCTGTCTGTATTTATCTTTTAATCTTTCATTTATCTGATTATCATATGCTCTCCCTTCTTCTCTGTCTCTGTTGTAGTCCTACTCTTACATTTTACAGTCATCTTAAGATTTAGATATTCTAATTTCTGAGTGTACTTTTGACGATGCTTTGTAATGTCTCCCATCTTTCCGATAGGTGTAAAAGGTATCGTTCGTAATGAGCAAGGTACGGCCCTAGAGGGCGCTGAGGTGAAGATAGTTGGTCGTGATATAACCTTCCGCACCACAAAGGAGGGAGAGTATTGGAAACTACTACTGCCTGGCTCCTACGAATTACAGGTAAATACTATACATACACGTACTTGAACTTGAACTTGAATGAAGTACATACTCATTGCATAAGATGAGAAATCATTAAAAAAAATGTATAGATATCAAAATAACTTAAGTACGTTTCTTCAGACTCTTAGAGAACAAAGAAACACGGCAATCTAAATTTCTCCTCTAACATTTTATGATAATCAGTTTGATTCTTTGTATACACAATTAAAAAAAATGCATGTGTGTCAAAGTGTGAATAACAAATTGAGAACACTTTTGTGAACTCGTAGCATCCGCGTAGGTGAAGTCATTATTCTTTTCTCAAGTATTTTCCTTCTGCCGTCGTACTCTTGTTTTGTATTCAATGATTTTCTTTGTTTTTGCCGAATAAATAATAATAATAATAATATTTTTGTTCCCCTCCCCAGGTGAGCATGGAGGGTTATATCACCTGGACGAGTACAGTTCAAATCACCAACTACGTCTACAACGTGGAACAGGTAGATGTCTACATGGCAACAGTAGATGACGGATCAGGAACAGCCCCTCCCAAGACTCAGGTATCACTGGTTGTCATAGTGATGGCTTCGCTTCTTGGGTCGTTATGGCATCTCTGACGTCATTAAGGAATAATCATTGAGGTGATAATATACGTCCTCGAGCGTTAACACGAAACAGATATACCAGCCGGACGCTGCAACTATCACGTACCTTAACAATAAAATATGCATGATTATAGATCTTCGTGATATACACTGACGTAATACCTCCACAAAGTGATTAACATTTGCAGTGATTGAGTCGATAGACAGGCCTTCATGAAATTCTGCCTTTCCGATTTGACAAAATTACCTCCGTATATCGCCTACCGTGAAAAACTTTTTGATGCTGTGAATTATCGAAGAATACTACCACGTAATAATGAGCTTTTATTATTCGTGAAGAATGGGAGCTGAACGCAAAAATGGTTTGGGGCTATTGATGCCAGGCTGATTGATGCATTGGTATGAACATGTATGATCTTCACCATTTTGAACGGTCATGATCGAGGCACCTGACATACTATTTTTGTTCAGAAGGAAAGTCCGAGCAGCAACCGAAAGGGTGGCGTCTAACAATAGTATTATTGTACCCGATTGCTTTATGATTCGCAGCCAGCAGAGTGTGCGATCTTTCCAATCGGGAGCACTGTACAAAGTCATGATTTCGTAATTTCTAGGAACATTCTAAACCTTTGATTAATATGCTTGATACCTATATTGTGATGTACCATAAAATCTGTCGTACAGCGAATATTCAATGACGTCCTGATTTTCGTGGGTTGTAAAGTTGAAGCCTAATACTTAAACAAGACCGAATAAACGATGAACTTGCGACACAAACCTATTTTCTCATCAAAATAATGATTTTATACCTCAGAATTGCTAATGAATCATGAGATGCACAACATCATTGTGTCAATTCTAAAGTTGATTGTATTGATGTACCGTGGTAGTATGTTTGATTGATGTCACTCCTTGCCAATGATTCGAATCATGAAACAAAATTATCATCACATTTTTGTTTATCTAATATCCTTTCACACTCTCTGTCTCTTGTTATTTCTTCCCCCTTTCTTCCCCTTTCTCTCTCTCTCTCTCTCTCTCTCTCTCTCTCTCTCTTCCCCCCCTCTCTCTTTCTTTCACTCTCTCGTTCTTCCTCTTTCTTTTTTTTCCTTTCTCTTACTCTTTCTCACAGTCTCACTTATTTCTTGCTTATAATCTCCCTCTATCCCTCTGTCAACCTATCCATCCACCCATCCATCTATCTGTCTACATTTCTGTCTGTTTATCATTCAATCTTTCTGATCACAGTATATATATATGGTGATTGGAAAGTCAAGAGCCAGAGCTCGTATTCCTTTAGAAAAATTTAGATTTGTAAATGATATATTTTTCTTTGCACTGAATCAATGTTTATACAAAAAATTATCTACATATCTACGTGTCTATCTAAACGATTTTCTTTATATATATCGAACTATATATCTGTTTCTAGTTTCTATAATCTATCTCATTGTAGCTACTGAGTGAATATGACATTTCCCACCAATTATCTAAGTAAATCGTGTTTGTATAACAAAAAAGATTTTGTATGGTTATTATGACGCTTAATGACATTGCTATTATTGTTTATTTTGAGCGTGTTTTTTCTTTTCTTTTTCAGTATGCCGTTTGTTAGATAAAGTTATTCTGTTTACAGAAAGGATTTGAAGTATCATTTATAACCAAAACATGTTGCCATGTTGAGCCAGAGCTCATTGAACGCAACTTACTTCTATTGATGTTGCTCGAAGGGTAAAGCTTGTGCAACGATAATACACAACATTATTCAGATGGTGAATAATGGAAGAAAAAAAGTAAAGCCAGCACTCTCAATTACCTTATTCTAGCTAATTGTGTTTCCATTCGGTTCCCGCCCTTTAACCAGTATACTGAAACATTCCTCATCGTTATGTGTATAATGATCTGACTTGTATGAACTATTGAATAATTATATGAAATAGTACTCGATATGTACTGCCTTCTTGTGAGAATTAATGTACATGTTTATTGTTTCTTTGAATTATTTAAGATCAATGTTTTCGTACATATTATCTATAAATTATGGTATTCTCAGAGTGCGATGTGTAATTTTTTTGGAGATCCGAAATACATTTTGTTGAATTAGCTGTGTAATCAAATGAAATGATTCATATGAAACAGCGATCGAAACATTTAATAAATTATATTTTTGAATCTCAATATCAAATTTGTTCGTTTTGTGTTTATATTTAGTAGGCCAATTAAGTGTTAAAATTTTAGGGAGGAGTGGGGGTAATTAAGTACCACCACCATTCTCACTTTACTCTAAAACTAAAACATATAAAATCCATTTTTTTTGTTTAATATGAAATGGATTGAGAAACGAATCTTCACCATTTGCATATTGCGAAGGAAACCCCCATCAATAATAAATAAATATGCGCACAAAACTGATGTCATTTTGCTTAGATTGACATAAAAGATGAAATTAATAATTATCAACTTGGCCAGCTATTAAACTCATTTTCTGTTTCGTTTTTGTGTACTACGTGTACTTCTGAACTTGTCAGTTTCGGCGGCCATCTTGAACTTACGTGTATATTAATTTCTTTGTGATAATGTCCGTATCAGGACATTTACACCATAGACAATTACCTCTCTAAAAATTCCCCCAAGGACAATTGCCAAAAGACAAGATATCATGTTTCAATCCCCCTAACCCCATACACACACGGACACAGGGGATGATCATTCTAGAGCTTAATTTTCGGAGGGTAATTTTCCGGGGCGATAGTCCTTCTGGGGTGATTGTCCTTGGGGGTGATTGTCCGTTTGGGGTGGTTGTCCTTGTGGGTAATTGTCCTGCTGGTAATTAGCCGGGGTGATTGTCCAGGGGGTAATTGTCCTCGAACCGATGATTTCATTTTTGTTTGATAAATTCATTGCTATAATGATTGATTTTATGATCATAATCATTATCCTTGACCTCGACAAACGCCACAACATAGCAAGTGCAGCATTAATCATCATCACTATCATCATCAGCAGCAGCAGCATCAGCTTCATCAACACCACCATCGTTAACATCGGTGTCTTCGTCATCATAAAATCAAATCTGAGAGTTGTCAAAATCATCTTCACAACCATTATTCTCATCACACTCACCGACGCCCAACCCCCTCCGAGAATTGTAACCCGACAGAATTTATTTAACAACACAATAAGTAAAGGTTGACACCGGAAGATACCGAGTCGAGAGATAATGATCCAAGTTTTGTGCTTTAACATGTTAAGTTTAATACATGTACTCGTAAAAGCAGTTCTAGCTTCAGTACTCAACTTTGGTAATAAATGCATAGTAAATGAAATATCACGAATCGTTATAGATGAAGTTAAAAAAAAAATCTATTGACAAAAATATAATATACAGGTTTATTCGGGTTTAAAATATCTGTTGGCAAAAATATAATATACAAGGTTATTCGTTACACCTGCCATACTTACATGAAGCGATTTACAATGCATGGTTATAAGGAAAGATTAAGTACGAGAAAATAAATGGCAATAAAGCTATTAGCCTATGTCCTAATGGCCCATTTAAATCTAAGATATATATAAATATCATGCACCCATTTTTACTTGGTAGAATAAAGGCTTTATGTTTAGGTACAAACAACAAAATGTTGTATATGCGTTTTAATAGAGAGAACATTATTTTGGTTGAAACTGGAGTGTCATTTACGTCCATAGAAACGTTATCGATGACTTATGGAAAATACGAGTTTAATACATACAGATTTTGAATGAAATATCTTCCATGCTGGACACATGGGACGTGATTGAATGGAAAGAAATCAGACAGTATAAATAGAGAACAATATACCCCAGATGTTATATCGCGAAAAATGTAGAAACACGAATAAAAAGGCGTAGAATCTGAATCACTTACTTGTTTCATTTGTCTTTGGTAATGGGTCGCATTCATGAAGTCTCATCAGAATATAACACTTCAACGTTAATGGTTCATTGTCTGATTGTTGGTTGAATTGCTTCATTTTGAATGCTCAATGTGACTAGGTTAATTGCGTTATTCCTGTTACTGTTTCAACATTTACTGTTTTGATATTTGAAGAACATATTTATCAGAAAGAAATGTTTCAATGAACGTCAGTTTATGTAGTTCTTTGTATATTGAATGTTTTGCAAATAGGTGCTTTACGTAGCGGTGAAAATCAAGATTTAATGTATAACAAATTGTACAAACAGTTCCTAAACAAACATAGAAATTCACCCGTACTTTCGTTGATAAATATAATATTAATTTTCTCTAGCTTCAGCCCTTTCTTCCTTTCATTATTTGAGCTAAGCTTGGGTTATGAAAAGTGCATAATAATATTTGCATAGTTATTATATTTTGTAAAGGCACATTATATTGAACATAAGAAAAAGAATACGAGTTGCATAGAAAATTACGATGTACACTTTTAGAATCAGTTATAAACAGTGACCGGGTTCACATCCAACATCACTCTCTTTGTCTTCTCCAAACCATGAGCAAGGTATAAGTCGGAAAAAATACACATACATTTTGGTTTAAATACCTGTAGATTCATTAAAATTACAAAACCACTATGTGTAATTCATGTATCATCTAAATCGTTCGTTTTATATATATCTCATCGGCCATTACTGTAAATATTCCTTACCTTACACTATTTATAATACACGTACAGTATGTGAATGAAGGTGACATTACTGAAAATAATAATAATTCTTACAGAAATAAGAGTTGTACCAAAGTTATGTGATTAATCAAATTATACAAGAGATGAAGAATACTCCGAACCAAGGCAAGATTACTAGAAGAATACAAGAAGTTCAAGTTAGTTACCCGAATCTATTACAAAAATGTTCCTCATTAAAAAGTTAATGCATTCTAACTTCCATCTGTTATCACAAACTGCGGTCTCATTACAAGGATGATATTATTAATATGTTCTATTCGTTCTGTATTACATTTCGTCATTATTTTGCGAGACACGGCCAGAATAAACGACTTCAAACTTCATTAACTTGAAACTCTAGGGGGCGGGCGGAGAATGCAGGAAGATAACCGAATCGATCAGTGCGTGGAACGTAGACCCACATCCAGTCGTTTTCTCGCTGCATGGCTGAGTTTACAACGACAATCTCTCCACGCTGTGCTTCAACCTCGTCCACTTCGCCTGGGGTATAAGCATGTGTGGTGACGTATACTTCTGTCACACCCGGTGACGTCTGTTTGAAATGTAACGTAGTAACAAATATCAACATCAATCTTCTTTCTGCATCCTATCTGGTACCTAGTTCGTTTACCGTCTTAAAATGAGATTTTCACAATAACAATAATAAAGTGTTTTAACTGGATCCGGGCCTATATAACTTTTTGCTCCCATGACATTGTATGCCTCAGTCTTAATACTGTAGTAATTGAAATTGTCTTTAAGGAAACCTCACCCCAAAACATCAGTGCAGTTATTCTGAAAAATTAGATTTATTCCTGCCCTTTGATGTACAATATTCCCTACGAAAATATACATCTTGCCACATATAAATGACTTCCCTCATGCATGCAATTACCATATCAATTATGTCGATCTGTATTATAATTGTGTTTTAGGTTGTAATGTCCTGTGTACGTCTTGCATTTTGTTATATTGTGACTTTTAATGTTTTGTATCTTCCACATTTGTCAATTATTTTATGGGTTCACCCACTTCCCTCAAGCCATTGGCTTTATTGGGTGCTAATGATCCAGTACACTTCTCAATGTATATATATTGTATGTGATTTTTTTTTAATGAAATAATAACTTATATATTCTTGGCATGGGGGCGTGACATGGGCGCAGCCATTTTCTTGAAAATGTAACGTACCAGGTGAAGTTGTACAGTCATGTATCATGCACCAAACTTTAGTTGGAAAGACTTTTTAAATCAATAACAAAACTTTTACTTTTCAACGAGGAAAACGGAGGCAGGTAAAAATGTCAGAGGTAAAAATGTCAGGGGTAAAAATGTCAGAGGCTTCCAACTGTTTACCAATACCAGTCTGGGGTCCTGTGTCCTGGGAAGTGACGAATACGTGGTAGGGATTCGACGAACAGAACTTTGATTGACTTCAGTACGCAATGTTCTTGGGTCACTCCGGGGATTTCCTGTCCCTTTACTATCTGCAGAATAGAGTGAAAAAATATGTATCATACGTAAAAACAAGAGTAAAATGTTGTATTAGTATTCATGATATGCTTCTGGTAGACAAGAGAGAAAATGCATATATCATATTATGAAGAGCACCTTTTCCAAGTATCATATCTACAGTTAAAGAGGCAAAAATATCAAACTAACCAAAACCTTTTACTGTCTTTGTTTTAATTGACCATTCTCTTTCAAGTAATATCTCTAAACGTCTGTAAATGCGAAAATATCCCAGTTTCTGACTTGAAGAATGCACTTACTTTTCCTAGCTCCTTTGATCCAGTTCACTCTGGCGGTGCCAACTTGACCTCTATCACTGGACACCGGCCGAGGTGGCTTCTGATCGGGTAGCTGGTTTGTAGAAGTTGTGTGAATGTGACCACCTACATAGTGAGTTGATGCGTGTCTTTGAGCGATTCTCTTCGAGCTTTGGTTCCAATCCTCAATGATCCTCTGTACACGTGATATCTCATTCCTGCCCTGCGGTTCACCAGGCAAGGTTTCTCCAGACTCGGAACATCTTTCATTGGTCTTCGTCCCTTCATGTAGCTGTGGAGGTGCCTCAGATTGTTCTTGGACTAACAGTGCCTCAAGGACTTCGTCTCCTTCAATGGTTCGTCGGATTTTACGATTCTGCTTCTGAGAAAGCTTCTCCTCCACTGCGCGTACATTCGTAGTGGACCGACGCTGAGGAGTCGTCTGAGGACGTAGGGTGTTCAGTGTTGATGGGGCTGGCAAGGAACGTCTGTATTCTATATGGGATGACTTCTTAGGCTTGAATTCAGCGTGTCTAGTTGGAGGCTTCGGCTTTGCTGAAATATCCTGCACTTCTCTTGAACTTTCCTCGATGCTGTTTGTCCTTACGATTCGTGCTTTTCTGATCGCATTGTTGACAAAAGATGGAGTTTCTACAAGTCTCTTTGTATCCAAATCTTTAGGAATGTAATACATTCCCTCGTCTAGAATTTGGCGATTGAGAGTAGGGACATTTCCGTTCCTGCCGAGCGGATCATCAGAATTTCTGACATTCCTTTCACTTCGTTTCTTCTGTTGAATCGTCCTTGATGGCCGTTGCTGATGTGACGGTTTGGTTTGAGCACCTTTAGACAAGATTACGGCACACTCTTCACCCTCGGTCGAGTGGCTGTTGGTGGCGCTTTCCCAAGAGGATGTGCTTGACCGGCTTTCTTTCTTGTGTGCACCATCTTTTTCAACGGTTTCTTTTATTCCCATCATATAGCTTTTCAGAGCACCTTGCATATTTTGTTTGTCGAGAGTTGAGTTAGGTGTCATCCGAGGAGATGGGCTCGCTTTAGGCAAATCAGCGAAGAGGTCAGGTTTTGAAGACAGCTTGGAAGATGTTCTTTGTCCTTCCGACCTTCTTTTGTTTTGTGAAAATCTACCATTTTGCTTAGCCGCAATGCTAACGGCTGGAGACATTCCTAACTGACCACTCCTCTCCAATGAATGTCTCATCCTTCTTTGTACAGCCGCGGATTTGGCGGGCGAACTCGACCAAATACTCTCGTAATCGTGAATACTTGCATTCATCTTCTTTGGGCCCTCTTTTGGCGGACTGTTCGTCATTATACCAGCGATGTATTCTAGATTCACATACGTATGTTCGTTTGGTTTATCCAAAGCATTCACCAGACTTTCCCGTGAAGAGGAAGGTTTGATTTTACGGTTATTCGATGTTCGTCCGTTTCGTCTCGAGCGTCTCTCTCGTGCTGATGCGCGTTTGGGAATCTTGTAGAACGCGCTCTGATTGGTCGGCTTAGCTGTCGATTTTGGTCCAGGAGAGTTATCCATATTCGTGAGGTCACCAAGCACTGATCTCTGGTTTTTCGACACATGGTCATCTTTAAGCTTATGTTGAATACGAGATCGAGGTTGAGACACTTCCTCCTTAGATTTGGAATTCATCCAGTTGTTATTCACATTGTTATTAACTGTGAACTTCTGTTCATTTCCCTCGTCGACTGTTTGAAGACGCACACCATTGGTTCGATCAGGGGAGAATAGTTGCTGTTGACTTTCGTTAGTCGGGAGGCTGTGTAGGCTGATGAGATCAATTTGATCAAAGTCTACTTCATCCAGAGTTGGAAGACAGCGCCTCTGTCTCACCCAAGATGGGATAGTACTTTCTTTATTTCTCTTATCCTGTAACCCTGACCAGTTATGTAACGATGCGGTCGTGGTGTCCAGTGTTCTGGACCTGTTCGCAGCGCCACCCGGAGAGCTGGTGGTGAGATGAGAGAACTTGGCACTCATGAAGGTCTCCTCGAAGAAGACAATGGAACCAAGTGTTCCATCAGGGTTCAGGGTGTCGTTGTGATGACTCTGCTCTGCTCTCATTGGATGCAGTAGGTCCACACGCTCCGATGAGAGTTTGGTATCCAACTCGACGACTTTTGTAACATCTATCAAATGACAGAGAAAATATTTATGATTTACCATGGCACTTTCAATTAATTACAATGAGCAGATAGTGATGAATTTGATGTCTTCATTGAATCTAATCTTGACTACGAAGTATTTAGAGAAGTTATTTGTTGAATATTATATGTTTGACGAAGTATATGTACATAATGAAGATAGCCTTGCCAATTTATAACCGCCATCAGACAAGAGACATGTAAGAGAGGCGCCTTCAAAGCCTTATCGTCGATAATATCTAGATCTTCGACATGCTATGCTTTTTAATATATTTGATATCATATAATAAATATTTTTCACCCACCACCGACCACTGGACGATCTGACAGTAATACCCATTTTAGACTAAGAATGACATTTATAAAACCTTTCCAGAGACACCCAGTACATGATAAGAATTAAAGAATATCGTAAACAGCGCCGTCGTTAAATGGTGGAGTTCTTAAAGGTAAAGACCAGTATTGGAAACGCCCCAATTTCAAAAAATGAAATGGAAGCTCTCATTACCAATCATGTGAAAGAATATGTTTTGACTAATACATGATGATAAAAAATTTGCCGGGAAACCGCCTACTAATTCATATATTTGGTAAATTTATTTCTCTCATGGTCTGTGAGAGATATAGGGTAGTCCCATATACATCTTTCTGTGTATAGTGCTTGTAACTTTACGAAGAATGGGCCAAATTTCTTATCATTTTGATGATTCCAGAACCTTGCAGATGCTAGATGCTAGATGATCAACCTTTTCTGATCGATTCCACAACGTTTCTTTCACAATGCAATCGCATGACCATAACTGGTCTTTACCTTTAAGTCAAGGACTGTGGGATCATAAGAGATAGATCTACCTTGTCCAATGAAGACATTTCCATCCGTATAGTAATCCGTCGGAGACCGAATCTCAGCGAGTTTCTTATCCTGGGCAGAAGGAGTAGCGGTGGTGGTAGAAGTGGTAGACGAAACCTTATCTTTCTTCTCTGATGGCCCCAGATACACACCTCCTGAACTACCAGGGGACATTGGGGGACCAACGTCTAACTCTTTCTGAGTGAAGGGGTGCGCCAGCGTACCCCTCGCTTTGACAGGTCGGGAGCCTGATGCAGAATGTCGCGAGTTTGATCTTTGCCCTCCTGTGTTTCGAGAAGAACAGTAATACATGTTAGATGTATTACTATTATTATTCGCAGCGAATTATGTACATGTAGTAAGCAATGTAAATGATTAAGATAATTATATCCGGTATAAAATGTATTTAATGACCAACATTTCAAGGAAATTATCTATTTTTTAACCCACATCCCCCTACACCCCTTGAAAATCTTCTTGTTATTCATTAGGGGAAAAAAATTATACACATTATTTGGACTGCCTGGAGTGCATTCAGACAAACGGTTTTCACATGGAATTGCTTTAAAAGATTTCCCCCATAAGAGCCGGTCTTCTCTCGTTAAATTAGATTTAAGCGGGAATTAAGCAATGACTCCATAATAAGACCATGTCACAAAAGAGCTTAATGTTGAGACCATGTCACAAAAGAGATTAATGATGAAACCTCAGTAACATTATGCGCTTGGTTGACTCCCTTTCAAAATTCACAATGTGTCATTAAAGCGTGTTTTAATCCTTATAACAGCTTTCTAAAGAACACTAGTGGCTTTCACTTAGAGCGAGGATGTTCAGGAGATTTGTATCTCATTAAGAAAAAGACGTCACATTTACATTCACCGATGTCTGTTGATCATACAGTTTTATAATGACCATCACTAGAGGGGCCATTGAGCTATTTACTTCAACGAGATGGGCATCTTTTGAAAGATGAAACGGGAAGGACCCAAACAGGAGAGGTATCTTCATCCAAATTCTAATCGACCCATACATGATTTAGCAGGAAGAAAGGGCAACTTTACAACATCCATTTTATTATATAAATCACTAAAATGATATCATAATTAAGTGAATAAATCTGAGGAACACCATGCTCAAAACCAAACAATTTATTAAAGAAATAGATGCAAACGTTTTCGAGAGATACAACTCTCTTTTAAGGAATACATCTACTGACTAGAAGAAATGTTGGTATACAAGACTGATCGACGCATTACTACGGAAGCGTTGATGCAGCCTGGCCTAATTTCCACCCTTTCGTTCACATTGGATCCTTCTTTTTCATCACGATTATCGGTAATCCAAATTAAAATATTTTTAGTTACCTCATTCATTTTAAATGTTACCATCTTTCATTGGTCATCGATTAAAGAGGTAAAACTAAAAGCACAATCATTATGTGTGGATTGGTAATTCAATCCGAGACCAGGATAATAATAACCCCCCCCCCCCCCGGAAATCTTCTTTCTTTCTTTTTTTACTTAAAAAAATACTTTAATACATTTTCTTCTTCTAAAAAACGGTGTAAAAAACAAAAACTTTAATGTGACTATTATGATTAAGATTATGATTGTATAATTAATTCATTTTCTGTACTCTGAAAAACAACTCATGTATTCATCTTTCATAGAAAAAAAGAAAGAGCTGTACAGATGAGGTACATGTATTTACCATGTCTAGAATGTTTTCCTAGTTTCCAAAGAGAACCAGCACCCGGACATAAAATAGGCATCTTGCTTCGAAAGACCCTTCTCCAGGCACCATTAAAGGTTTATACGGAAACCATGAAGAGGCGAAGTCGCTCCGAAGGAGGTGTCATCTGGTTGCTGCTTTCATGCAAGCCTGTGATGAGAATGAAATCAGTGGTAGGAGAAATTACAAGAATAACAAAACAAACAAAATCAGAAAATCATGATGACAATGATTATAGGCCCTTGTAAAGAGGATTGTTTAGTGATGAATTCCACATGAAAACGGATGTATGTATACGATACAATCGTGTCGTAATTATGCTTGAAGGGTTACACGACTATGTAATTATTTTGTTCTTATATGCATGCATGTATATCTAGAAATAAATAAATAGAGAGGCCCCTCCCAGGGGCGAATCCAGGAATTTCTTCCCGGAAGGGGGGGGGGGGGGGCACACGGGGGGTAATAGGACATATATTTTGATCCCCCCAAAAATCGCAACGACTCAGCCAGCCGCTGAATAAGCGGGGGGGGGGGGGGGGGGGGGGGGGGGGGGGTGGTTAAGAGCACATTTTTTTTTTTTGGTCCCGAATATTTGAAAATCGCGCCGGCTGCAAATTCGCTCAGTGGGGGGGGGGGGGGGGGGGGTGGTGCACACTATTTTTTTTTTTGGCCGGGGGGGGGGGGGGGCACGTCCCTGTTTGTCAGTACATTTTTGGCGAATTTGGGGCTGATTATAACACTTTTTTGGCCGGGGTGCACGTGCCCCCTTTTGCCCCCCCCCCGGATCCGTTCCTGCCTCCCAGGGTGGATCCAGATCCAGCCGGCGGCGAGGGAGCGGGCCCCATTCGTGACAAAATATTTAGCGGCGACTCAGTCGACCGGTCGAATAAGCGGGGGAGGGGGGTGGAGCTGTATTTTTTGTTACTCAACACCCCGCCCCATTTTGGGGGGGGGGGGCAGTGGAGGGGGTGACCCCTGATCTCTCCTCTCTGGCTTCGCTACACATACTATAATAGTCACGTAATATTTTCAACAAACGTTATTTCAAATCTTATCAGAAATGGTTGATGTTTAGTATTGTAGTCAGTACAGTCCTCTTTGTATAGTCGTATTTGGCTGATTGCAATCATAGCATTGTCCACAAAATTGTATGATCTCGGTGTTAGATAACGGTAACTACACATAATTATCATCGGTGTAATCCTTGCACTACGTCAGAAAATAGATGATGAATCAAGAAAAAACCCTGAAGTGATGTGACATTTAATTAAGCTCAGACTGCAATTTTGTGTATTGTTAGTGTATGTATTTTGTTAACTATAGGGCCCCGCTCACAAGCTTGGCTTCTAAAGGGGTCCTAAAACCATTCAGTTTATGATGTAATCAAGTTAGAATATGTTGATTGATGTACTTCTATACCAGTCTCTTTTTTATGTTACAGATTATATAATGTTTTGAATAAAATGAACTGAACTGAAGATTAGCCCGGTCTTATTTCGTTGATTGTACCTTCAATGCTAAGATTTTGCGCTAACGTCATGTGTGGTAGTCCAGTTACAATTGTTGAAGATTCAAAGTGGACAATTTGGTTGGACCTTAGACTGACCAGTATCTTGATTAAACTAACGCATATTATTGGTCAGTTTGACCAATAATCCTGTTCATATTTTTACTCAATGAATTGGATGACACAAGGTAACACACAAACTAGAATAAAGAATATCGGACAGGCCAATGATGGTCTGGATGGAGTGATGCACAAGTGACAAGATGAGGTCACTACTATAATAGAGCATGGAGAGCAGAACAAAGATAAATCAATACCAAGACAAGATGGAGTTGAATAAAAAGAATACAATTCTAAAGATACAAAGGTAGAAGGGATATTTCTAAAGAAATCCCCGTTTTTTACAACGCACGGCACTATTGAAAACATGTCATCTCTGACCAGTGGAGGCCGACGGATGTAAAAATGCATATTTCAAACTGTAAGGTGAACACTACATAGTACACACAAATACACACAAGTACATTATGACACGAAGCATCTTAATGGATATATAGGCCTACCCAGAGTAAATTCTGGTCCGTCCCTTTGGAATAAGCTGCCACTTAGTATTCGTAATTTAACTACCCTTCATGCCTTCAAAGTTGCTCTAAAAACCCATCTCTTTCTAAACAGTGCTATTTAATCATGTCAATGTAGCGTAATAATTTGTGTTGTTTAAGTTTACTTTATTTTAGTTAAGAATGTTATATTTCTGTGATAGTAATACATGTATGTACAGCGCCATGAGCGTCAGAGCCTGGCGGATACCGGCGCTATATAAATATCCATATTATTATTATTATTATAAGGACTGCAATTCTCAAAAATGGATCATCCATCAAAATAAGATTAACCATACACAACAGCTTTGAAACGCGAATACGAGAACAATATTACACATAATAAGTATATTATAATTTATCAAATTTATATTTAAAAGAACATGGGTTATAGCAACTATATATGGATGGGTATACCCTCATTCTTCGTATGAATTTTCGATTAGCATTAATGTAAAACCAGGGAGGTGAGATCTCCCTGGTAAAACTCAGTTGTATTGAACATTTTAGTAGCGAGGAAACATATTAAAAAGATATCATTAATTCTACATGAGCATTAAAAAAAAAAAACTCGCAGATCATTCTTGTATATTTTATATTGAGGATATATAATATAAATCTTGTTCGCAGGACATGTCTGAATATAATAGCTATAAATCATCTTACCTGCTGCAACTGATTCGCCGCTAGGTGTCAAGTCCTCATTATATTTTTATAACCTCATCTCAAACCGCAGAGCACACGACACGACCACCAGTATATTACACTTGTAAATTTGAAGATGTGAGCCCGCGACCAATTCAATTCAATTTCTAAACGTCAAGTTTAAACAGTTAAGCTCCTCTCCAGACTCCTCATTGAATATCAACGGTTCTCAAACACGGTGGGGAATTCAAATAAAGCACGCATGTGGTAGGCGGTTTTGATGTACATGTAGAAAGGTTGACCCTGAAAACTACTGCAAGAAGGCTAAGTCAATTTGTCAACGGCAGTGATATACACTGAAACCCATCAAGCATTGCATTCCGATGCATAAAATGCCTTACCAATAACATGTATGCAGCTTTGAAAAAGGTTAGCGGGGTCGAGCGAATCTGAGTGAGGCTAGGATTTAAAACCTGTAGTGTTGAATCACGAACCATATTCCATCTTCTAAAGCTTGATACATTATTAATTCGACATTTATGTCATTCTAACATTTTTCTTAATAACTTGCATTTCTGAAGAGTAAAAATTTATAGCAAGTCATGATTTGGATTCGATTATTTACTGATCAATTTTACAATACGAGACAACTTCCTTGTTGAGAGTCTGGATTGTAGACCAAATGACGCCGTTTCTGCACTGTTTTCATGTAGACTTTGCTCTTTTGCTTCATGTTTTGCCTACAAAGGTTGATTCCTAAATCAAATAGACCAGACAATAAGCGGTCGATTTGAAAAGAAGTGTAGTCGATCGTGCGAAGAATGGTGAAAAGTTTGATAATACAAAAGGTTTCCTTCTTTTTGTCGAAGCCTCCTGTCGACTCGATCGACAGAGTGCTTTAGAAAAGAACAACTAATTCGCCACCTCCTTATTCCCTTGCATGACAAGCGCTTTCTTTCTCTCTCTCTCTCTCTCTCTCCCTCCCTCATTCCCTGTAACGTCACAATCAAAATTGAGTAAAAATTATTTGAATCTTTCAAATGGCCCAATAAAATCGTTCAGGTATATGTCCTTCGGATTGCGACCACAATTGTGAGATACTATTAAAATAATTCCCATGGCCTCCAACGTACAGCTGTGACCGTCGCAGGTGTATAACGGCCGGGTCTGGTAAATATAGGCAGATGTATGCTATATGGTTCTTGAATAACTACAGCTGAATAGCAGTTTTATTTACGTTGTCGGATACGTAGATAATCGGAGTAGAGGGAGGGGGGGGGGGGGGGGGGAGGGGGTGGGGCTTTGTTGACGGGAATATATATCAACATTATTCCACTAGATAGTTACTCAGAAAAACTAGTCCAAGCTATTGCATGCCAAATCTATTGCAAAGACTAAGATACATATAGGAGAGTTGGTAAACCATGTTTGAGGTGGCGTATACGGCCAAACAAAATACTAATATACATGTACGTCATGTTGTGACCAACTGAACATGCTGTGATGGAAAGCCTGCTGAAACCAAAGAGATATTACATTTGCTGAAACCGAAGTTGGCCGAACTCGATCCGTGTCTAGTTGGCTCTGTAACCCTTTATATCACCACCCCCTCTACTGCTAATATTATGTCAAGCTGCCGTGATATCGCACTCAATTTTAGCAATAGTTACTCAATACAGAGAGCGATATCACAGTATGTTAATTGAATAATTAATATTATTATCAACTTTACGAATCTCTTTCAGACGGACGAACTCTCGATCTCGGCCAAGTACACGTTTGCTTTTCCTATCTTTCTTTCACCCAACCCCAAATCATCAGTTTCATGATCAAAACAATGAAAATTATCTGTGTCGCCTTCTCACGATAAAAGAGGTAATGAGGTATATGAAATACAAGGCCAAATCTTTTACAGCGACAGCACAGACCTGTTTCTGAAGATCCTATTTTGAACCGTCCCATGAATTACTGAGATAGCCCATATGCTAGATCGACCTATAGCAGACCTGTTAAATTTGCTTCTCCCGCCAAGTACAAATCTGTTTAAATTCCATTTATAGTGTAGTATGTTAAAGATTAAACAGACAGTAAAATGTTCTATGATCTGCCGATCGTGTGTCACTCTTAAATTTTTCTTCACATAATTATACGTACATATGAGTGCATATAACTTATCACAAAATAATACACAAAGCTGCGAATAGAGATGGCACCCCCTTCTCTCTCTCTTTCTCTCTCTCTCTCTCTCCTGATTATATTTTCTCCATTCGATATCTCCTAGTTGTGGCTACCACACTCATGGCAGAGGGGGCACAGCTGTCCCCCATTTTTACTTCAAGTAACTCCAAAGTGCCCCTGTTTACATAGGAAAAGGGCCCCTATTACTTTGTAAAAGTGCCCCTTCCCCTTTTGATCTGTGATAAGTGCTCTTTTCATTTAGACACGTTTCCCTTTTCCTTTGACAAGTTCCCATTTTTCTTTGCAATAAGTGTCCATTTTCCATTCTTATAAGTGTCCTATTTAATCTCTATTAAGTGCCCCTTTTCAGGTACGAGAAGTGCCCCTTTTTCACTTTTGATAAGTGCTCCCTTCACCTTTGATAATTGTCCTATTAATATCTGAGAGGTGCCCGTTTTACTTTGACAAGTGCCCCTTTTCCTTTGCAAGAAGTTCCTTTTCCCCTATTAATAACTACTAATAATAACTACCCCATTTTAACTCAGATAAGCGCGTCTTTTATTTTCACATGTGTCCCTTTTCTTTTCTAATAAGTGCCCCTTTTCCTTATAAGTTCCCCCATTACAAAAAAGAGAATGAAAATGTCCCCTTTTCATTCTCATAAGAACCCTTTACATCTCTGATAAATTACCTTTTTCAGGTACGAGAAGTTACTCATTTTCACTTCAGATAAGTGTCCCATTCACCACCGATAATTGCCCCTACTCAAATCTGAGAGATGCTTGTTATAATTTGACAAGTGGTCCTTTCCCTCTTGATAAGTGCTCTTTTCATCTCTGATAACTGCCCCTTTTATTTTCACACGGTCTGTTTTCCTTCTAATAAATGCTCTTTTCCCTTCTATTAGCGCCCCTTCCCCTTCTCTTAATTATCCCTTTTCATGTCTGATAAGTGCCCCGATTATTCTAACATGTGTCTCGTTTCTTTTGAGCCACTTCCTCTTTTCATATAAACCCTCTCTCACCTCTGATAAATGCCCCTATTAAAATCTGATCGGTCTTCCTTTTTTTTCAACAAATGCACATTTAACTTTATTATAAGTGCCCCTTTTCATGTCCGGTCAGTAGCCATTTTCAGGTGCGATAAGTGCCCCTTTTCACCTCTGATAATTTCCTTTTTAACAAGGATACATGCCCCTATTCCTTTCTAATAAAGGACCTATCCCCTTTACATAAATACCAATTTCATCTCTTATAAATGCCTCTACCAAAATCAAATGGATGCCCCTTTTCCGTCGACAATTGCCCATTTCCCATTCTCATAAGAGCCATTTTCCACTCTGATAATTACCCTTTGTACTTTGACACATGCTCCTTTTATTTTCTAATAATTTTCTTATCTCTTTCGATAAGGTCCCCCTTTCCTCTCATCATTAAACATGCCCAAAGCTCGCTCGCATTTATAGATGATATAATTATGTTACTTATCAAGGGCCTGTTCAGTATTCCGTTATGAAAATGTTCTTGTAATTACATCAGGATTGGGGTTTTTCCCTTATAAGATGTCATTTTTCGCAGTGAGACCTCACAAAAAATGACCTCTTAAAGTTTCCCTCGCTCCCTTCGCTTACTCGCAAATGAATATTTAGATTATCACACCGAACTGCAAAGTATGATGCTTAAGCATCTCTCTCTCTCTCTCTCTCTCTCTCTCTCTCTCATTCTCTCTCTCTCTTCTCCCTTTCTTTCTTTCCATGCCTATTCTACATTCTTTGGGCTCTGTAGTTCTAAAATACTTTCCTTAGATAAAGAACACAAAAATCTTGACAGTGATTTAGAGGGATTGGGTGTTGTAGGATATTGCATCGGATTCCTGCACTGAAAACGCACTGTTTCTCTTATTTTTCTGCTTTCTTACTAATTAACTTATTACAAAGGTTGGGTAACTTGGGTTACAAGGGTAATTCAACCCTTGTAATTAGTTTATTATTATAATAGCAGCTTCAATTAAGAGAATCGTGATGGGGGAAAGTTTGATATAAATCAGACCAATAATAAGAGAACTATCAATGTTTGAAATATGAGATCCATATACAGTCATGTATAGCTACGTGAATCTCAGATGGACGATTTTGCCAGGAGATTGTGATTTAGTCACGGAAACTCTCCCGTTTGTAGTGTATAACAATTTCATTAATTCTCATTTTCTTGGGGCACTACTCAAAATTTATGATGAATAAGATATTATCATAGGTCCTTAAAAAAGAATAGACCCGCCCGAGTTATACACTTTGGGGTACTAAATGAAATTAAAGTCACTTTGTGTGTTGAAAGAAATGAGAAAGTTGTCCGGCACTAAACCACAGTTACATTACCGATTCACCCAATTTGAAATTCACACAAGTGTAGTGGTTAATTTTATTTTTTTTAAATCCTTCTTCTTCTTCTTCTTCTTCTTCCTCCGTTGTTCTCGGAGATCTGCAGTTGTATTCTGCAAGCGTCAGTGTTGGTGTCTTTCGTCTCCAGCTGTTGACACTGTAGTTACAAACATTCAAGTGGGAGAGGAAAGGATAGAGGTACGGGCAATGTGAATTTTATGGAGGAAGAGTAGAATTAGAGTGATCAGTCTATCATATAGATTTGATGGGAGCATGAGGTGGTTGGGAAGAAGTATAGCTTTTGTGAATGCAAAGCCATCATTGAAGTTGAAGTATGAGAGGGTGGTTTCAGAAAAGTGTCTGCTCTGCATTTCTCCGATGAAGTCACTTCGGTGTGACGCTAGGATACTACAGGAGGCCACAAAGTGGATATTATCCTCATCTTCCTGGTGGCAAAGACGGCAAGTGGTTGAGGTTGCTTTCTTAATGGTGACAAGCCTAGTTTGGGTTAGGTATGTGTTGCATGCCAACTGTGATCTTATTATGATCGCTTGCCTCAGAAACTGTGAGCTGCTGGTCTGTGGATACAGGAGCATTGGGTCTGGTATGGGCATGTTCCTCCATAGTGACAGGGACGACTTCTTTTCTATTGCTTGTAGGATGTTGTCATTCACTACGTCCATCACTGCCCTCTTGGATTTCTTCTTCCACAATGTGTACGGAATTGGGTGTTGTATGAGGGTATGGAGATCTGGGAGTCTGTACTTCATTAGGATGGCTTGCCAGGAGTTGATGGAGAGGGTAGATTTGGTCAAGGCATGTAGAAATGTCC